TCTGTGTAACTACCAGAAAAATTCTGGATATGTCTGAATGTAGCGATGAGATGTACATTGATGAGGTTCTCTGTCTGTGTACGTGTGTAACGGATTTATGTGTAATGCTTGTTCAAAAACATTATGGTTCCGTGATATGTGAAATTATTGAAGAGCTAGTCAATTTCATATTACACAAAAACATGTTGGCATGCAGAGATTTTCTTTTCTGGCTCGATAAACTGTAATGTCATCATTATTTTTGTAATAACAATTTGATCATTTTCTTCACATAATAAAAGGTAAATAAAAGGTTGAATCACTCGTTATCCTTTTCTCAGAGTTCAATTTTTGGATTTTGCATACGCCTTTATCCTAAGCGTCTCACAAATGAGCAATTGTACAAATATATTTTGTATTCAATTTAATAAACGGAAAACGAGCGGACGGAAGGGAATTATTAAGAAATGGTTAAAGCAAGGAAGACAAAGGGTTAAAGCGATATTTTATTAAATCAAGCAAATTCACAGAAATATTGTCCTCTAACATCTCGAACATGACAGCGAATACTAGGAAACAAAGCGCAAGACCTAGCAATTACGATTAGATGGGAAAATACTACAACAGTGGTGAAACATAAAATTTCAAAGTGTAACCCTATGAAAAACTTTGCTGTTTACAGTTCACTACAGCGTGACAAGGCCTAGTGCGGTAGCGCTTTTAAACACTAGGATAAAGTCAAGATATCTAGCAATTTTAGGCATGCTTACCAGAGATCAGTCTGTGAAAGAGTTAGAACAATCATTTGTGTTTGTGTTGTTAGACCATATTGTCTCTATAAAGATTTGTACGTTTATATTCATTTATGAACGCTGTTACAGAACTCATCCACAAAGATAATTTCATGGGGAACAGGCCGGCCTTCAATCTCAAAGATTCTCTGCAAAACACATGAAACACAGTAGAGTAAATCACTGCCCTGAAGCACAGTTCAAGAGGGCACAAATGGCAGCATAAACTGCTATACTGTGATGGTACACAATACTTCATACGATATCAAAACTCATACCTGAACATATTCCACTCGTTGGTCTTTCACTCTGTCAGAGTTTCGTTCGAAAGGGACGCGGTACGCCTGTTTCATCCGGAACCGGTGCTTTCGGAGGATACGATCAATTGTGGAGAGGCTGATGGCATTTATCCCTCGAAAATGATGATTATCCTCAATCACTCTCCTTTGAATCTCTCGCAGGCGGATTACATTATTGGCAATGACCATGTTTACAAGCTCCCTCTCTTGCTCCTCTGACAAAAGCCTTAGCCTGCCTCCACCAGGTGGTCGTCTCTGTGTCCTACAAAAATAGAAGCACTCATTACTGTAACTGTCACACATCCTTTTTACAGGAAAAAATGGAAACATACTGAAACTCTCTGTATGCGAGGCAATTTGATGCATTTCTTTATTACAGTAGCATAGTGCAACAGTGTATGCACTCTAAAGTTACTGTACAGAGCAGTCTTACTGTAAGTACACCTACCTGTTTTCCTTCCTGAAGGTTCTGATGATGGAGGCGACGGTGAAGCGACTCAAATTTGGCTGTACTCGTTCCCCAGCCTCCCTCATAGTCATACCATGGACAAGGACATGGTCAACTAAAGTGGTTTGAATTTCATCTGAGACTGCTTGTCTCCTTGCCCTTCTTCTTCTTCTTGCTCTTCCTCCTCCTCCTCCTCTTCCTCTTCGACCTATTCCTTAATTTCTCTGTGGATCCATTGTTCCAAAGCTCAGTGAACTGATTCGGGCCCTTTTATCTATTTATTGAAGGATCTGATTGATGTGTGTTCAATTTTGTCTCTTAGTGTTTCCAATTGGGTAATTGTTTGCTAATTGAGCTCAAGCTGTGCTGACTTGTTTTGTAAATTTGGCATGAATTGTGCAAGTGAATTTTGACTTTCACTAATGAAGAGAATGTAGATCAACCAATGATAAACCATTTCTCTGAACGTTCATCTCATAAATTTTCAGTTGGAAAGCATATACTGTATAGACAGAGGACAACCCAAGAGTTACAAATTCTGACAATGGACTTTCTTATTTTTTATTTTCATCTTTGTGGCCATATTTCTTGTTCCTTTTCTATATCACAATGACATTGTAAAGGTTTTTTTGGTTTGTTTTTTTTGGTCAGACCACTAGTAAAAGTGTAACTGGGAATTATATCCAGTCTCTTTCAATCAATATCCCACATACAGTAATGTGTAGATTTGTACTTTTGAAATGGATCTATGGCATACATAAGCATATGGCATACTGTTCAAACTTCAATACAGTAACTGTCTTCCAAAATGTTGCCATAGTTTACATCAGGTAATACTAACAGAGTGCACTGTTATATTGACAACATGACAAAGCATTTTGACTATCTTGTTTGTGAACAATGACACAAGGACTTTTCATTCTGATGGTACTGATATGCTCATTGACATAAATGCTTACTTTTGAGAGATGAACGAAAGATTTTGGGTAAGTTACAGGCTTTTGCAGGTAATCCATTGTGTGGTGCTGTTTGTACGAATTGTTTTGAGAAATGCACATACTGCTTTGCAAATATTAAGGATGATACGAGAAATGCACCAAAGCGACTGAGAAAAACTGTA